ACATCTGGTGAAAATTTCATGTCATTAGCACCTCTAGTAATTTATTTACTGAGAAAAACGGTGACGTGTTCAATACTTATTTTACCCGCTGTATATACACAAATATTTTTAAAAATGGCAGTTTTATTACATTTGGGTAGGTGCACAGTGCTATGTGACTTCATTTAAGTTGCTAATTCCTAAATGTTAATCACCCACCCAACCTACCCTATCCTCCCATATAAACATTTACAACTAATACTTGTCAGAATGTGAAACTAAAAGCTTCTCCTCTTCTGCAGCATCAATAACTCAATCAATCCCCCTGATAAAAGCTTTCTTTGTTGGCTGTTAACTGAATGTGAGTGTAACACGGAACCTGAAAACGCTGCGGCACACAGGCAGGGAAAGCGTAATCGAATGGCAAGGAACGAGCCTCTCAGCTGCCCAGGGAGACGAGGTGTCAGTGAGTCATGTAGAGCACATCATTTAACACCTACACTCTCATCCGGCCCTCTTCAGACAATATCGGCTGAATTTCGGAACCGCATTAAAACACCTTTAAAAGCACTTTAGCGGGAAGGAACAGTCGGGGTACAGTGTCATGGGTATCATCTTGCATCTGCAAAAGGATAATTGCAAGTGATGCTATTAAGCAGAAGAAAAATAATTTCCAGCGGGCTCGGCTTAAAATGGAAACTCGTATTTGCAATTTAAAATGATTGATCCTTTATGACTAAACCGATGCCACTGTAATGGAGAGCTTCTTTTATTACATCAGAAAAGCAGATGTATGTGTACAACTGCGGCGACGCCAGTGAACAAATACAAAAAACCCCAGGACAATAAAGATTTTCACAGATTCTGTGTATTCTCTAACAACCAGGCAGATGTGGAGTTGCTTTAAAGTAACAACTCGTCTAACAAGCAGACCATAAACTCCCAACAGGCTGCACTCAGCCAAGTGTGCATCATTAAAAGAAAAGCCGACTAATAACGCGCTGTCCAAAGTGCAAGTGAGAAAACACATAATCCTCCAATTACGCGTGCACATATTAAATAAGGAGGCATCTCTTTGCGGTGCGGGAGCAGTAGCGCAACAGTAGAATTATTCACCGGCAGCATGCAAGCTCATAAACATAAGAAAGCCTGCGTGCAAATGTGGCATCCCTGTCCATTGTGATAAAACGTGTGAGCAAGAGAATGGCAGATTTTGCTTTTAAGGTTATTCAGACTCCAAGTTCAGTGTCCCACAGAAACTGAGCTCTTTACATGTTCATTAGGTGACAAATATGAAGCAAAACTGCTCCAAGAGGGCAATAAAAACAAAGTGCTATTCTGATTTTAGAGATATTATTCGATTTAGATAACATTTCGCTCTTATACCAAGCATTAACATCTGAATTAGTGAGTCCACCGCTCATGAAGAGCCTCTTACCTGATGAGCCATCGATACAGCCCCTCATCAAAGTGCCTGAGAGAGAAAAATGGATATCTCAGTGACAAATTTGCATAATAATAAAGCACTGAGTAAGAAACACCTGAACACTGGGCTTCACACAAAGTGAGAGCCGAGCTGTATCTGCTGCATGATGCATGTGTGTCCGTGTGCTCCCCCTCTGTCATTATAAAGATTAAATCTGGCAGAGTCCATAAACTCTAACAGTTTCATCAATGATGTCAGCGAACAGCTTTATGCATTCCATCGATGTTGTCAACATCGACCAGCTCAGCAAAAGCAAAGCTGGAGCGGGGTGCACCCGTGTCAGCACATTGGTTGGACTGCAGTCTAACTGTGCACTTTATCATGCCAAGGCAAACATGCCGCCCTTCCATTTTCTTTTTTACGAGCTCTAAATTGAGGAAGCGTTTTTTTTCTGTAAATACATTCTGAAACATGAATGACTGTGCTGAAAGAAAGTGACACAACCTAATGAGATTATCCTGAGAGCTGTAAAAACCAACTAGCTTATTTTTTTTTTTCCAATCCTGACATGATTCTAATCTTAAAATGAGACAAGATTATATCTGCATGTTTGTTCATTAGTTTATACACTGACCAAATATATTATCAGATGCATTAAGTTATTGTAGTTCTAAATTCAGCCTGTCTACATAAAGTTTTATTCTGTTTTAGAAATGAGGTCATTCAGCCTAAATATTGATCATCAGATGTTCTGAAATTATTTTATAGTGTACTCAAAATGTAGTAATTTGGGTTGTTTATATCGAAAATAATGTATTTTTTAAGGTGTAAGAAGTCAGCACATTTTATCTCTAATAACTTGAGCAATTGTGACCCCTTCAGCATAAATTAGGCATAATTTCTTTTCTGTTGTAAAACCAGTATTAACCAAGATTGGTCTTTTAAAGAATTATATATTTTTAATTTTCTTTGTCCTTTTATTTAATTTAATTTTTTGGGGGGGAGAGGCTATCTTTATTGAAAGTGTACATGTGTAAAAAAAAGCAGAAAAGAACTTGTTTGTTTGACAACTTTGGTTTTTGTAAGACATCCCCTTTAAAACCTACAGAACTTGTATTTTATCCTTGATGTTTTTCTTATTTGAGCACAATTTTGCCCTAGAAATACATGGTTTCAGAAAGAAAGAAAAAAAGATAGGTTTTAAACAGAAAATAGCGCCTCGGTCAGAGTAAACAGACCCTTTTAGTGTGATGCAGAGAGACAAATATAACGCTCCTGATCTTGAGGTGACCTACACTTTTATTGCTGGTAATGACTGAAGATGAGACAATTTTCTGAGGCCAGGTTGGATCTGATTGCTGAGGCGCATTGAGCACTTAGAGCATTTTACAATAATGTTACATTTTCCCTCAAGGATGCCAGGGAGAAGTTTTACACAGACAATACAATACTACACATCGCTGTTAGAATGTTATGTACAGTACTTCCATAGTGCACAGTCTTACCTCCACATCCCGGTGAAACTGTACATGATGCTGACGCAACAAGGAAGGTTTGGGGGAACCAGTTCATCCAAAGCAGCAAGCGAGCATGGAAGTCCAAACAGAACCAGATACTTCACATAGAAGAACTGAACAAGGGCCAGAGCGAGACCACCTGTGACGAAAAACAAAGCAGGGGATCAAAGTAATGCATAATATTTAAAGGGTATTGTGTATTTTCCAGGCACATAGTATCCATCTACAATTAAGTAACTATGTTACCTTCAGTTGTTTGGAAAATACTGTGTGTGTGTATATATATTTCTCAAACATGCATGAATGACTCAAAAAAACACTCTGGGTATGTGTTTGATGAGGGAATGATGTTATAACATGAAATAAAGCTCAAAAAAGGCCATTTTGCATAATATGTACACATCAAGTTGTATGGATTATCCATGAGTTACACAGATTTTGCCCCATTTTGCAGGTGTACGGACGTATGGAAAAATCTCAGACTTTTTCAAATCTCACAAATTAAAAAAATAAAAATAAAAATGCCTCAGAGTCTGTAGTACATAAAAAAACAACAAAAACAAAACAACCAATAACCATCTACCAACCCTCTATGCAACTAGAAATGAGTTTGCCACCTTTTATCCTGCTCTCCTTGTATTGCGTATGAGTAATATGGAGTTTTGGTGAAAATTACAGACTTTTGAGGGTCCTGATACAGGTAAACATCTGCAGGGTTTACATGGTTTACCCACTTTTTAATGATTAAAAGAATGTCATCATATTTTATCCATTTCATAGCCAAAATCATACAAGAAACACTTAATAGTTGTCCTTTTAGCTTGTATGAACTCGAGTCAACATGGATTCAGTGCTGTAATTAAAATGTTTCAGAACTAATGATTATGAATCAATGTTTCTATTATCTAAAGACAATTGTTATCCTGCATCTAACAAACTAGGAGGGGCAAAGGAAAAATGAGTTAAAATCACTGAACAAGTGGCTCAGTTTAATCCCAAAGTAGCATTTAAAAATATGCCAACTTGACTGTGCAGGTAAAATATACCATTTCTCCACCTCCTCTCATGTGTCTTATAACTATAGCCGGTTAATTTAAAAGCAATAACATACCCAGCATCAGCAAACGGATAGTGAGAAAATAACATAAGGAATCATCATCCGTTTGGGTTAATACACCCAGAAGATTTAGTATGACCATATAGAGATGCTTCCATGATATGAGTTTGTTCAGTTTATCAGCTTTAGCCTGGAGCCTCTGCTGAAGCTGATAAATCGTTCAAATCATCAAAAGATACCAAGATATCTGGGAGTATAATCTCAAAATGCGGTCTACTATGTATGAAATGGCAAAAAAAAAGTTGTTAAAGACTTACCCAAAGCCCATGGAGGGAGTATTTCTATGTAAGTCTCATTAGACTGGATGGAGTGCATGTACATGACATGGATCATATATTCTGCCAGACACCACCAAAGTAAAATACGTCCTGATCTGAGTAACAAGAAGCTGAGAGCAGATTCATTTCTGTTGCTCTCTTCAGTAGACCTCCGCATCTGTACGTTGAACAAGGCAGCACATTATTCTGAGTATAAGTTACACAGTAAAAAAAAAATCTACCTTTTAATCAGAAAATAAAAGATGTCATACACACTTCAAATTAATTAAATGGGTATTAATCCTGCAGAAGTGATTTAAAAAACCTGACTTGCAATATAAACAAAAGTTGCACAAGATTTTACCAATTTAAAACCTAAAGTTCAAGCTAGTACCATGTATACTTTAAATACATAACTACATAATATGTTGTTTACATGCTAATAGGAGAGGTACTCTGAGATGCAGCAATCAGCCTCAGCCTTCAAAGCACAAGCAGAAGAGGCAATTTTGCTCTTACCTGCTCTGTGTAGGCTTTGAAGGTGATAATGGGTCCATTGTAGAAGAAGGGATGATAGAAGGTGTACGAAAACAGCCAAAAGAGCTCCACGAGTCCACTCCGATCTAAAGGGCTCCAGCAGTGCTCCAGGCTGAAGCTGATGAATCGCAGGCCACACACAGCTACGCTGAAGAGCAGCAGGTAATACTCCTCCTCTGTGCTATACCAACCTCTCTGGGTAATAGTTGGGACAAACAAGATTTTAGCATCTTTAAAGAGGATTTTAAACTTGCTGGTGACAATGCACCACTGTATTAATTCTGTATGGGCTAACAGACTAGGAAAACTGACATGTTTACATAACCGAGTCTAATAAAAATTGTTTTTGAAACATTTGGACTCTGCTCTGTGTGTAGGTGTGAGGTAGAATAGAATAGAATAGAATAGAATAGAATAGAATAGAATAGAATAGAATAGAATAGAATAGAATAGAAACAACTTTTATTGTCCCGCAGAGGGGAAATTCAGGTGTAACAGCAACAGCTTCAGTTAACAAAAAACAACATACAACGTATTGCTATTGCTATGCACCAATAGCAATTTTTTTATTTATTTAACAGGAAAAGATGATTAAAAATCAAGCCTGACTAATTGCTGTTTTACAGCAGGTTCCTGTTCTGCAGCACATAAAACACTCAGAATTACAGCATCACAATCACATCATTATATACCATAGACACAAAGACAAACAAGCATACCAAATTTCAAAAAGGCAGCATTTGCAAAATAGGACATCTAAAAATGAGCACAACAAAAWGTGTCCAGCAGATGGCAGACAAGATTCTTCTTAAAGGGCTGTAGTTTTGAAATGGACTTTATGTTTTGAGGAATGTCATTCCATGCTTTAGTATAAACATAGAAGAAAGACCTCTGGCCGTAACAGTTTTTAAAAGTTGGTAATATCAGTTGTCCTTTTGTAACAGATCTAGTTGAATGACCACTTCCAGAATTTGATTTGGGCAGCAATGCACAGAGAGTTCCATAACTGGCACCTTGGAAGATCTGAAAATATAAATTAATACCACTATACAAAACATAATTCTGAAAAGTCAAGGCATCAGACAATGAAAGAACTGTACAGTGATGAGTCCAACCAGGAAGTTTTTTATGAATTTTATAGGCCCTGTTGTAGAGCCTAACTATGGGTTCTGAGATTTCATTTGTTGTAAGAGACCAAACAGGTAAACAGTACGACTGGTTGAGAGAATAATGGCATGAAGATAGATATTTGAAACAGAAGATGYCAGATTGGATCTAATTTTTGAATAAACGTATAATTTCTGTTTCAACTTAGTGGTTAAGACTTGTACATGATCACATAAGTCAAATGAGAATCCAAAGTAATTCAAAGATATTTGTAGGTAGTGACAATATCAAGGGGTTTGTTTAAAAAAGTGAGTTGATTTGTTATATTTAAATGTCTCCTGGGTGAGGAAAAATACATGCACACAGTTTTTTTTTTAATATTAATTGACAAAAGATTATCTTGAAGCCAACCATGAAATGTCTGAACATCTGCTTGTAACTGACTATTAATAGATTCAATATTGAAATCAGGCAAAAAAAAAAAAAGAACAGTATCATCAGCATAAATTAAAATATTTGAATACTTCAATATTTTTGGAAGGTCATTTAAGTATATTAGGAAAAGCAATGGGCCCAGTGTGCTACCCTGCGGAACTCCCACAGAACAGGGCAGAGACCCGGACACAGAGCTTCCATGTTTCACAACCTGACACCTATCAGTCAAATAAGACGAAAACATTTGTATTGCAGATGAAGAAAGTTGAAAAGAAATCAACTTTTGTAAGAGAGTATAATGATCAACTGTGTCAAATGCTTTACGAAAATCAATATATACAGCACCAGTTACTTGACCTTTGTTCAAAGCAGCACGTATTTGTTCAGTGGATAAAATTAATGCAGACATGGTTGACCTTGACGTGCGGAAACCATGTTGGCTATTGCTTAGCATATTATTAGCTTCTAGATGCTGAAGTAGTTGATTAAATAATATTTTTTCAAGTAACTTTGAAAAAATAGGAAGAACAGAAATTGGCCGATAGTTTGAAACTTCTGTTGGATCATCAGATTTAAAAATGGGAGTAATCTGAGCAAACTTCCAGGCATCAGGGAAAATAGACTGCACAATACATAAATTAAGCAAATGATGAAACAATGGTAAAAAGTGTTGGCATGCATTTTCAAGAAATCCATATTTATCTTATATTTGTCAAATGCATGTGAGCCATTTAGAGATTGGAGTGTATTCAAAACATCACTCTGTGAAATTTCAGAAAATGAAAACTGCTTTGAAGTGTCAAGATATTTAAATAACTTTAAACTATTAGCTTGTCCCGGTAATGATGTCCTTACTGAAGAAATAAAATATTCATTAAATAAGTTAGCAATTTTTTCATGATCAGAAACAAGAAGTCCATTTACTGAGATTTGTGAATTGTTATTAAATGTTTTATTGTTACTTTCATCTGTCACTGACTTAATCGTTTCCCATAATATTTTTGGATTCTTACTGGCTGAAATAATTTGATTTTTAAAATATTGTTGTTTGGCTTTGCGTAATTCAGCAACACATTTATTTCGGTAACTGTTTAAATGAGACCGATTTTCAGAAGTTTTTGATATTCTATAAGTTTTCATTGAAGAAGCTTTCAACTTTAGGAGATGTATTATAGAGGCATTCAACCATGGCATTTTATTTTTCCGGACTGCTGGAACTTTACAAGTTAAATAATATTTTTCCTGTATTGTCTCCAACTTATCATAAAAATTTGACAAAATGCGATTTGGATTTGACAGAGAAATACCCTCATTCCAGTTAGTATTCTCAATCTCAGCATGAAACATGGGTAACTTAGATTTTGGAATCCTTTTAATGAAATTATGCACATGACCTGTAGGTTTCTTAAGKTTTTTTCTAATGACATAAATAAGTGAATGATCTGAGATTGAAGTATTTATAACTCCATATATGCCATATATGGAGGATCCATTTGTGAAAATAAGATCCAAAATGGAATTGCATGTCTTGCCAAATCTTGTTGGTACTTTAACTGTTGAAGCCCTAAGTTTATAGACATTGCTTTCAGGCCTTTGGAAGTTTTATCAGCCCAATTGATATTGATATCACCAAGAATCACAAACTCTTATTTTTTTTTTCTATTACCACTATTGTTGTAGTGGTAATATATGTATAATAGAAATAATAAAAAAAAAATAAAATGAAAATAAACAATATACTGGTAAAGTCAAGAACAAAAAACTCACATTAAATGCTGTAAACAACCTACTTGATGCACATGATTCCAGAAAATGCATCTCTTAATTTAGTCTTATGAATTTGAAATAACAAACAGAGGCTAATAGGCTCACCATAATCTTGGTCTCTACTGCCCTCTTGTGTTTATTACAAGTATACCATTTAGTGGCACTCAAAGCTGGAATAGTAAAGATTTTCACTTAGATAGCCAAATTACAGAGCCATAAAATTCAGATGTAGTTACAATATTTATTTTTGCTCTGACTGATGTTTTTTTCTCTCTATTTTAAGTAATTATTTCTTTAATAAACACAGAGTCCTGGTGACACAACTCACCTGGATGTCTTGAAGTGACTGAACGTGAAGTGTGGAAAGCATCAAAAGATTAAAAACCCACGACAGAGCGGGCTTTCGCAGCTGGGCCACTGAGAAGGAAACACCCAGATGTACAAGCAGAACACTCACACCTTTAATCCCCAGCACGCCGCTGGCTGCTAAGAAGCCATATAGTGTAAGTGCAGGCACCTTGAGCTGTTGGACCAACAAAGTGTTAGAACAAACATCTCGAGACGCATGATTGACTAGTTTGTCCAAAGATATCTTCTTCCTACCTTGGGGTTAAAGATGGTGGTTAACCTTGATAAAATGCCGTGACCAATCAGAGTCCACAGTAAAGACTTTTTGGCCCATTCAGTCCAGAAACTCCACTCGAAGTCTAAAGGATCCTTTGAAAAACAAATTAACGTTGCAATGAGCCTTTATACCAACATGAACCTAGTAGGCTTTAAGCTGCAAAAATGTGCTTTTTTAATACCGCAATTCTGCGTAGGGCTTCATTTATTAGTCTAAAATCAACATTTAGTATGATGCACTTCCATGCTTATTTGTTTTTTTTTTCACCTAAGTGAAGACTATTCTTCCTGAGGTTCACACAAAAATAAAACATTACAACAGAATTAAAACACACAGTCCATACCCCTACCAAAAACTAACCCTGGATACCTAAAAGGGTTACAACAATTATTTTGTATTACTAAGATAACTATACACAAAATTAATAGCTGATTTAGCAAAATAATGTGCTTATAACTCAATAAATCAATCCAAGACCATAAAAGAACATAAATAAACCTATAGTGGCAAGAAAAATAAAATATCTGTTAACTTTTTTTAAAATGCCAAAGTGATCTAATTTCAACAGGCAATGCGTTCCAACCTGAGCTCTGTCCAGAACTGAAATCCTAAGTCAATTTGTTTATGGCAAAAGGAAAAGCAACTGTACAGGCTACTCTAGTTTTAAAACTCTGTCTGTTTGAGGTGGGAAATAACTTCAAGAAAAGGCCAAAAGGTTTATGCAGAATCCAGATTTTATGAAAAAGAATGAAGGTATGTCACTGACCCTTTATCCATGATAAGACTTGTGCTAGCTATCTAGCAGCTTTGTTCTGCACAATCTGAAATTTATCCAGGTCTTTTCTTGAAGCACCACACCAGATAACTCAGACTGAGTTTAAAGTTAAAGAAAGCAGCAGTGAACTTACCCTTTTAAAACCTTTAAATATACCATTTTCCAAGTGGAATTCTCTCGCTAATCCAACTTCATGCTCTGAGGTACGACAGACAACAGGTGCATCATTATTTATCATTTCATTAAATAATTGTAATGATTTTCTTTCTTTCTTTTTACCTTTGGAGAATGTGTGCAGTTTATAAAAAGAGTAAAGATGGGAACCAAAGGAGAGTACCCAGTACACCAGAACTTCTGTCCACGGCAGTGGGGACAACCGAGGCTCCGAATCGAAAGTCATCAGGAGACGTTGATCTCTGCTAAAATGTTTCTGAAACAAACTCAGTCTGATCAAAACATTTCGTATCAAAATATAAACGACTTAAGTCACATTTTCACGTTCAGTGATACTCACAGTTTACATCTCTTTTGGAAATTAACTTGTGCAAACATCTTAAAAATTTTTTAATGTAATTATAAGATAAATGTTTGGTATAAAGACAGGTAGCCTTGAAAACTTTAAAATGCTATACATTGCTAATATGTTTAGAAACTAAGGCAAATTTGAATCTTGCATAACTTAAAATCTTTGCATCTAAAATCAAATTAATTTGCCTTAAATGGTTTGAAACTTAGTTTAAATTGGCATGCTGTTCAAGCCATAAACCCCTTTTGAAAATCTATCCCTCGAGCGTGAATGTTATAATTTCTGTATAAACAATGAATGAAGGTTTTACTAAGAAATTTCAAAAAAGTCATCTTAAATTTTGCCCTCTATCTTAGCTTACTAAAGCTAAAATCTTACAAAGAGGAGACATCCGTGTATTTTATTTCTTACAGCGGAACAAACTAGAATGCTATTTAAATCCAGGTTTTGAAGATCCTCATCGGATTGTTGTAAAATATCTCGACAACTGACTGATGGAAGCTTTCGTGCTCATCTGTCTGTTTGTTTTGCTAAACGACACTTAGCTGTTAGCTGTCTAATGATGTGTACAAATGTAAAAGTTACCTTAAAATAACGGGCTGGTGTTCATTAGAGAGCTTTTAATTGACGTGCTGCAGCCACAGAGATCCTGCCATCATTCAGAGAAACTTCTTCCTCTACGCTGTTTGAACTTGTTTTGTACCAAATAACTTTGCGGAGAATGAGCGCCCCGCCTGTGCAGGAGGGGAATGACCCACCAGTGGCGCATATTATACACTGTAAAACTGGATTTAACCTGTTGTCACTCAGATTTATTATCTCTTGTCTGTTTAGCAAACATTCCTTAAACTTGCTAAAATATTGACCACATAATAATCCAACATTAACCAGTTTTATATTTAAAATATTTATTATTTTCAATCATGACCTCCAGGCTGCAACTTGCCATTGACTGCCACTCTACTGCAAGGCATTATTATCTTTTTTTTTTCTTGTTTTTTCTTAGGTGGTGCCACTCTGCAAAACAGTTTCACTCCAGTCTGGTTCCTGTAGCATCTCTTCTCTGCAGGGCTGTCTGAAACATAACATCTGACCATGTTTCACTCAGAAGAATAATTCATAATTATGCAAGTGATGCTTATAAGTTTGTGTCCTACTGAAAGTGGTTTTTATTTTTTTTTTATTTAAATTTGAATTTAGGTTTATGAGCTATTTAGACAACAGCTGATCCCAGTATGACAAACGAAATTGATCACTCATTTACTTTGCCTGCTTATAGGGTCACTGAAGGTTGACAAAGTGGATGCATGATGTCTGTTTTTTATTTGGTAGGTGAAATATGAGGGATAATGATATGTGCTGTCACTCATCAAGAAAAGAGATAAAGTTTATTGTGGCAAAAATCTGCTGGCACAAGTATCAACAAAAGCTTGCATACCAAATTAGACAAGATTGTGGTGTTTTAATACTTCTACAAATAATCAAAGTCTTAACAAAAAAGGGAGACAACATGTGTGGCAACAATTTGACATTAAGGGAACATGCACAAAAGTAGCAGCGGGAATCTCCATCTTCGCACATAATTCACTCTTTCCTCTGACAAAATCAGTGACTTCTCAACTTTTTGGACAAATGAAAGCTGTCATTAAAGCTCGACAAAATACTGTTTAATGTTTTGTCATAAGTTCTGCAGCTTTGTCTCTGTCTTACAACTTCTTACAGAGCAAGGTACGAGCATGACTGCAAGTCATGTACACTTTCAGGTTATTCACATTCAAACATTCAAATTCATTATTATTACAACAGAGATTTTTAAGCTTGCCTAGTGTGTGCATGCTGAAGTTTATCCATACAGTCAGGCTCATGTGTGTGTGTGATCACAGTATGATTGTGTTTTCACAGCTCGTCGGTCTCTCCATCAAAAGGCACGGCATCTGTCTCCATGTGGATGCTGCTGGGCTCGTTGTTGCCCACCCAGCCAATGGGAGTGCGGTTGAAGGAGGGTCGGCAGCCAATGTCTTGTTGGTACACCACTGCCGGTTCGGGCTCAGGTTTGGTCACCTCTGTTTCTGGCAGCTGGAATTTCATGAGCTGGTTGGCCTTCTCGAAGCCGCCGAAGGGCATGGCCATCCTGTGATCAAATAAGGTGAGAAGAAAAGCCAGTTGAAACAACAGTTTCTCATTTACACCCACAAAATCCAACAGTGAGGAAACTACCTGTTGAAGCACTTGAATTTGCGGAGCTCCATTGGTCCAATAGGACCAGGCATTGCATATTTTAGAGTGGCCAGCAGATTCTCGTCGCCTTTCATGGCCTTCTCCCACGGAGACACATATGTCTTTACATGAATCAACATTTTAGTTCCACCATCTTTTCCACCTCCTGTGTGGAAAACATCTCCATCATTTACTGCAGTCTACAGATCATTTACAATCCTTTTTTTTTCCAAAGAAGAATTTAGATAAAATCTCTGAAAATAGAATGTAGAGGTACTTTAATGCTTTATCTTTCAATAAAATTACTTCTGCATACTTTGTACTATTTTAGCCATTCACATCAAAATGTTCAGTCCATTTAAGAGATAGATGCATGACTTGGGTTTTCAAACTTTTACACTTTTTCAGTTAATTAAATAAATTTACAAAAAAAATCCTGATCAAAATTAAAATCACTTGAATTTCTTCCAAATCATTTTCTTTGACATACTTGCTATATTTTCATTATCTTATGCTGCTTTTAACTTCACTTTTCCCACTTTTAGCATTTAGCTACTTTTATGCTACTTTTAGCTGGTCTTTAGCTAATTTTATCCAGCCTTTTGCTATATTAGCTTCTTGCCCAAGATTTTCTACTCATCATTTTGCTACCTTTAGCTATTCATTTTTTTTTGTTGCTTTTTGCTTTTAACTACCCTTTTGGTACTTTTAGTTATTCACTCTTTGCTACTTTGAAATTTTAGATCATGTTTTGCTACTTTCACCAAACATTCAGCTATATTTGATTTGTAGTTTTTTGTTTCTTCTAGCTTTCAGCTAAAGTTTTGTTTCTTTTAGCTGTTAGCTAGTGTTCTGCTTCTTAAACCTCTAAAAACTCAGTTTCAGTCGTTGCTTCGTGAACAATACTGTATTTTTGCTTAGAGTTTGATTGTCATCATTTACCTTCAGAAATCTTACACAAGGGTCATATCTGTCTCTCTCTATCCACTCTTATTTTTAGTGTTTTTAACTCTGAAACTCCTTTCATAATCTCACTTCTTTTATTCATGCAAAACTTGAAGCGTAAAAATATTAATATTATATATTAGTTCAGTTTAGTTCAGTTTTTAGTTTAGTAAATAATAAATAATAAACAAAAGTTTTTCATATTTATCATTTTAAAAATGTAATTTTTAGGCTATTTTCCTATTTTCATTTTACATTCAGATGTTGTTCCCTCTGGTTGTTTCTGTAAATGTATATTTTGTAAAAGAAAAGGTTCGGTGGTTGGAGAATACAGAATCCTTAAAGAAATGACATTAAAAGCCAAATACAAACCTCTTAGTGCGGACCCTTCACTTGTTCCATGTCCTTCTCTCCCTTTGTCTTCCCCACCCAGTCCTCCTGCACCTCCAGCCCCTCCAGCACCCACAGCTCCTCCTGCTCCTGCTCCTGCTCCTTTGCTTCCAGGCTTTGGAGGAGGCACCGGGGCCCCTCCTCCAGCAGAAATGGCTCCTAAATACGGATGTCCAGACTCTTTGCTCACAAAGTGCCCACCGACATTTATTATTTGACCTCCTATCTGACCTCCCAGAGAGGGAACAAACTTCTGGAAGTTGTCCTAAAAAGAGTGAGATCATTAGGAAGTGAAGAAGAAGAAGAAGTTGCCAAAACCTTCTGCTTAAATGTATTTTTATATTGCTGATGGTGCTTGTCTGTAAAAATCGACTCATTATGGTTTATTAGTTGGCTTTGCTAAAATATGAAAGAGGTTTTTTTTTTTTAACATCTTTCTTTCCCACAAACTAGGCCCTCACCATTGAATCGCTGCTGAAGATATCAGGGTTGTTCTCATAGATGAACTTCTCGACTCTCTGCTGCCTCATCTTGAACATCTTTGAGCCTCGGTTCTTCATCAGCGAGAGCTCCTCCAGCATGATGTCTCTGGGAGTCCTGATCTTTTTTCCCAGGTCCAGCTCTGTTGCCTCCGTCTCTGCTTCACATTCTAGTTGCGTAATACATATAAATATTAGAGGTGCAACAATACATGTACCGTATCGAACCGTATCGAACAGTGCTTTAGGTTCAGTACACACTTGTATCGAACAATACAGATTTTTAAAATTTACTTATCAGCTTGTCTTCTAAAGATGCTCTTGTGTTAAAGGATCAGTGATCTGTGTTCGACTACTCCACCTAGGCTGCATTGTCGAGTACAGATCCACTAAGAAACTTGCTGTTTCAGCAACATTTAATTTAAAAACTGCATTTTGAGGTTAAACAAACGTTCTTAATTAATTTAAATAAATTACAAGTTAAAAAGGGAATGGAAATTTCTCTTTTTATATATCAAAAAATATCGAACCGTGAGACTAAAGTATTGAACCAAACCGAATCGTGAATTTTCTGTATCGTATTCGTAAGTTTCTCTTCATTATCAAAAAAAAATTCACTTTTCATTTTGGACATTTTAATATGAGATTTGATGATGATAAATAAGAACAAAAAAATCCTAAAAGAGCCAACTCAAGACCTGCTGTAATTTTAAATATCAAAGCCATTTCTTTTTGATTAATAATGCAATAATACACATTATCACTACTTATCCTCTTAGATTTGGACCCCATTTACAGGGTCCCTTCCCCTCCCCCCTCCCGATTTCTATCCATGGCATTTACATAAAAGAGCTGCACTTAGCAGTGGTAATTTCATATTCACTTCATTTCACGTCGGCCTTACCATTCTGACTGATATGTGATAGGTCAGTTATGATCTTGGAGGGCTTTTTCCTCTTGTTTAGGGGGGCAGGTGTTCCCAGAGGCATGGCTGAAGGGGTCAGGAAGAAAACAGAGATCCGTTACTCCTGGGTATAAAAATACAGAACAGCATGCCTTCATCTGAATCTTGCTAAAACTAGTCTGCAAGAGGAGGAGAATAACATAAAGTCAGGAGGTTAGTTTAAAGCTTTAACAGATCTGAGTTTAAAGCGGCATTTCATATTTCATCTGTTTTCCCTCTATAGTTTGCATTAAAGGAGGAAAAGTGTGCTTTTTATTTTTTAAAATCCACTGAAAGGAGTGTTTCTGTTTAGTATTGATTTGCACGAGCCTCTCAGACTAACTCTACACCAACACCTCCACTTATCATTAACCCATGAAGTCAGAGAACCAGAATGTAACGGACCTGCAGACACCACAGACCCTCCTAATTTTTCATCTTCACAGTTAGGGAGGGGCTGCCAGTGCCCTGGGATTCTTTACATTCCCTCGTGGAACCGATGTCTTCCCCAAAGAAAACCTATAGCTCGATATGTGTTTCAGTTGTGTTTATAGGACACCAGATCTGTACGCTGATGGAGTCAACACAAACAGATAAGCACCATGGTTTAGACAAAAACTACTCTCTGTTAGCTGCAGGAAAAGTGATATTTCATTATAGATAACATAAGTTTTATTCATAGCATTGGATCGTAATCACCAATTAGCTGCTTGTAAAACAGGTGGAGAACCTTCATGGACAGCTTCCTGTCCTTGCATATACTGTATAAACATTAGTTACCACCTTTTTCTTGTCTTTGAATGCATCATTTATTACCTTAGCCTACGTGATCGTATTAATTCACTTATTTTTTTTATATCCTGTGGCACAAATGTTTGCAAAATCAGCACCAAGATTGTCTTTAAGGCCCAGTCAAGTGGCAAAACATCACATCGCAGTGGCTGTAACCTAACCCACTGCAGCTATTTTTAAAGGCCATTTCCAGCCAAGACATTTTAGCAACGTGTTGTGGCGTCATTTGACTATCAAATGGGCCTGAAGGAACTCTGCAGAACCCAAAACACACGTCCAGAAATTTTAAAAATCAACTCTTTTGTGGGACTCGGGGAAACAATTTTAGCACGGAGCATTTTAAAGTGACTTTAAATATTCTTCAATAATGGCAAGGCTACAGGGAACTACATGTTCAAATTTACTACCCCACCCCCTCCATTTCACTTTAAGGGTCTGATAACACCCTATAAACTCACTGTAACACAGAGATGGACAGTCAGCACTTTCACTTATTTGGCGTACAAAGTAAAAAAAATTCCACACACAGAAAAAACAGCTTCTATATTATTTTTACATCTCACATTTTATATTTAAAATCAAATATTTCCAGTTAACACTTTCAGGAGTGCTTCCCTTTTTTTCCATCATTAGCTGCACACCCATTTTTATATACTGTATATTGACTGGGAATATATTGCACACGTTTTTTTTCAGTTTCTTCCAAGTTTTGACTTTTCTTTTTTGCCCGACCAAACAACTCAAAGCAAAACAATGAATTTGGATCCACTCACCGGGTTTTTGTTGTGATCCTATCAGGGGAGGAAGACCCTATAAATACCAAACGGTGAAGAAGAAATAGATGTCGATCACAAGTATACAAATCCCTTAGTGCCTCTGATCCTACAATGGCTGGACTCAGACCCTGCGGAGTGCAAAGCCCACCCAGCCCTCAGAAGGCAGATCTTCCAAAAGGTTGGGGGTGTGGGTGGCAGGAGTGTTGGTGTCAAGACGAGGAAGAGGAGGAGGAGGCTGGGGTCAGGACTGTGGATTTGGAATGGGAAGGGGCCATCAGAGATCTCTCTTGGCCAGCTGAAACTGCTGATGGTGATATTGAGGGAGCAAAATCATTCTCGCAGATGGCTCTAAAGCCTATATTTAGTAGGAATGAGCGAGGGGAACAGAACTCAGCCTTAAGAAAACCTCTGAGGACCTGCGGGTGTGTTTGGGATATGAGGAAAGACAAGGAGAAGAAGCCGAGGAGTGCACAGTGCAAGCTGAAGGTTAATGATATTTGTATGTATATATACAGTATATATGAAGACAGTTTGTGTTTCAAAGGGATGGTTGGCTCTCACTCTGACTTAATATTAGATTCTCAGAGTTTCAGCTTCTCTGCAGTGCAGAAACTCATGAAAAAAAAACTAATTATGTAAGTAAGGAGAAGCATTACAATTATGTATCTTTAAAGCTGATTCAAACTTATTTTTTGTTGTGTATCCACACAAGTCACACTGTGGAAATACTGTTTAATATTCAAAAGTCACATCCTATATTTTAAATAATGTCAACAGAACCCTTGGGCCTGTGCATTTTCATTAAAATAGCATAAACTCATTTAACAACAGCTGTGTTCCACTTTTAGTGCAAACAGTTGTATAAAACGTGAAAAGCAGAAATTCAGCCCCTCATTACTACCTGAGCTGGTCCTTCTCTTTGAATAAAAAGATGCCTTCAATGAGAACAGCAGTATGGTGGCTCTGTTGGTATAGCTGTTGCCTCCCAGTATGAAGGGTTGCTGGTTCAAATCCCAGTCAGGGACCTTTTTGGGTAGGGTTTTCATTTTCTCTCCATGCACGTGTGAGTTTTCTTTGGTTTCCCTTCCACTGACTGAAAACTGACTGTTAGGTTAATTGGTAGCTAAATTGTCCCTAGGTGTGAGTGTGAATGGTTGTTTGTATCGTGTTGGTTTTCTCCAGGTACTCTGGTTTGTCCTTTATTGGTTAAAGACATGCATGTTTGGTTATTTGGAAATACTAAACTGACATTAGTTGACACCGTGATAGACCGGTGACCTGTGCTGAGAGTGCCTCACCTTTTGTTTGAGAAGGATTGTTTAAACTTGACTTGCTGGTGACATTTGTGGAAAAAAACATCTTTGCTAGATTTCCTGAAATGTGGAGTAGGGTTTATGACACTAAATAGTTTCTGACGATAAATACTGTTACATTATCTTGTTTCAAGCATAAATCTGCAAGTTTATTTTAGTCTTTTTCTGAGGAACGTTGCTTTGAAATACTGTAGTTTAATGAATTTATGTCCCACTTGTTGAAAAACTGCCCAACTTTGCTCCGTAGACATTTTTTGGAAACTGAATTTGCACCACAGTATGATTACAATTTATTGTTAATAAGATCTGATCTATTACAGAAAGCTGTAAATATCTCATTTAAGGCTTAAAATTAGCAGCCTTTTTTGTGCAGTTTTGTTTTGTTGACAAAATTCTGCTCTTTCCCCTCTCAAATGAACAAATCATGTCAATTTCTTTGTAAAATTAGGTCCCTAGTTAGGACCTTTGTGCAATGTTTTAACCTGCTCTATGACCTTTGTTGTCTCAGTGTGTTTCTATCTTTTATGATAATCATTTTTGCATTTTTTAAGCTGTGTTTTCACATGTTTAATGTAGCTGTTCTTTATTTTTTTATAAACGACTGAAGATTCCTGTCTCTGCATACTTTTTCTAGCACTATTCTTCCAACATAGCATGCAGGCAATCTCTGGCAACTTTGCTTCTCTGGCAAATATTAGGATTTAGAAAAAAATCATGTCAATCAGACATGCTGTAAAGTAACATTATTTTATACTGAAACTTTACTCCAGTGGAAACTGCAGCACACAATATTTCAACACACACTGAAATAGGAACCTTTCAAAAGTCTGGCCCAATTTATTTTTATTCAGTCTTTTTTTAGCTGTTAGAATAGGAGGTTATTCTTAATTAAATTTGTGCCTTGGCAGTGGGTTATTTTCACTATACATAAATAGTATTCCATTTGGATTTTAACAGCCCCATAAATAGAATCCTTGTGAGAACGAATGGCACCAAAATGTCAAAGAGGAGTCCAACTAAAGCTTCACAGCACCACTCGGTGGTTGAAGTTCATGTTGGCGAGAAAAGAAAACTCACCATGGGTAAGGTGTGATTCACATCTAGACATGCTTAAATTTGTTATCCTGGATTGATGGATATATAAATAAATAAATGAAAACATTTATTTAGAAATATAGATTTTTCTAAATCGCTATAACCTTGTGTTTTTTCTTTCTTTTCTACACCTGGACCAAGAGCCTACTGGGTTTGACGTGTCTTTTTTCCATCTTATCAAACTCCCATGTGCCCATTCTGAGCCTGGTTCTGAAGGTCCAGCCGTCCATTATTTTTTACTTGCTTCTTCCTTTCTGGGCCACAGGGATCACTGGTACTCTATCTTGTCCAGCAGTCACTGTGTGGGGGGCAGGGTACACCTTGGACAGGTCCAAGTCCATCACAGGATGGAGTCAGTGCCATTCAATGTGACAAACAATCCGTCACACTCTCACTCACACATAGGAACAATATAAAGTTACCAGATAGCTAACATTCCTGTTTTTTGATCTGCAGGAGGAAACCGATGTGCACGGAGAAAACCCACACATGCACCTTGAATACAAACCTAGAAAGGTAGAGTTTTTGGTCTGGTTTCCTCCCACAGACCAAAAACATGAATATTAGGCCAACTGATTACTTTAAATTGTCCCTAGGTGTGAGTGAAAAGGCATTCAGCTCTGGTTCTGTACCCCACCCCTCGTATTAACTGCTGGATACGGGCACCATTGACCTCCATGACCCTGAAAGGAAGAAGCAGATAAAGGTAATGGATGGATGGATTTTCTCCTGTGTGCCATCACTGTCAGTTAAATATTCAGTTCCAACTCCTGCACCACCTACATCAACATTAGCTGGCAGCAGAGCATCATTTTCTTTTCAGTCATTAGTCTCTTTAAATACGTTGTCACTTGATTTTTCCAGTGCATTGTGTCTGCAAGGTGTTCATGGTTTTGTTCTCCTTCTCCAATTCTTACTGGGTACTTTTTCTGCATTGTGAAACGTTCCTTTTTGTAAGAAAATCAGCTCTTTACTTTTGTCTTTAAGTTTTGAGTTCAAATTTTTGGTTTTGCTATTTTTTTGCAGTTTGAGCCATTCCTCTAAAGACGATAAGCTGTTTCATAATTGGTCTATCAATCCATCCATTCAAGAAAATACAATCTTGTCTCAAAGTTTAATTTGAATTTTGCCTTCATCTCATGAGTCATAGGCTAAAATGGTCTAACTTATTATTGTACTCATGTTATATAGGTTTTGAGTGAGAGGAGGTCCCGCCTCAGAACATGTACATCAAACACTGAGCAACAGAGGGCAGTGTTCAATCAGACATTTCAGACAAATGAAGAGCTTTCAAATCCAATTTTTTATTTCTCCAAAAAAAAAAAAATCTTTTCTTAGTCAGTATAAACTTCTACCCAGCATTTGCAGCAAAACAAAAATGTTCACACATGTTTAATCTAACAGTGTCCAGAAAACTCATATCACATACTGTACACCTCAACAAAACTATAACAGTGCAGGATTTTTTTGTAGCCATTATATTATGAAAATAAGCTTTCAGGAGAAATTATATTTTAAAAATAGTTTAAAAAAGCTGAAATTACCACAATTATTTAATTGTTTTTCTCTTGTTTCCATTAACACTCATAATCCTTAAGATACATTGCTGTTACATTACTTTGGTTTTTTATCAAACTGTGTGAATTAAAAGACACCAACATTCATCAGTACCTTGAGCTTCACCACTATTTTGTTCAGAACAAACTTCCCTTTAGCCATTATATCTACAGGCTGTGGAATATTTAACTATATGTAATGAATCAGAAGTCCTATTCAACTTGATCATGTCCATTTATAGAGAATGGGCAGAGACTTCATTAAGACCCAGTTACATATGTTTTTCTCTCTACACAGCTACTCTCATTCCTTGAGCCCTTTTTATATAAAACCTAAGAGCGTCAACTTTCCTTTATGTCCTTTAAGATTAAATCACAAGATGTTAAAAATCACTTTCTTCATCTGTATTATCTGTTAATAAAGAACGATTTACAGATATTTGTAACAATCATACTGAGACTATTATCCTAAACCTCACTAACATGAAGCAGCAAGTCCGCCTCGATATGATGTATAAATTCACATAATCTGAGGTGTATAATAAAAACACTTTACTTTCATTTTCCTTCAGGTCATTTGACATTTTAACTTTCCTCTGAAAAATCAAGGTTACTGCGTTGTTCTTTTATATTAGTGCTACAGACAGAACCTGTTAAGATGAAATACCTCTATTGGTGTCCTCCAGCTGTCTGAACTGCACCTATTCATGTTTCAGACATTTCAAGTGTCTGAGAATATATCACTACAGGCCCATTTTCATCCTCTACATTTGTAGAAAACCCTCCAAAAATCTCACACAAACGCAGACAATAAAGCATAGCTACAATGTCCCATTATTATTGTCACTCACTTAAATGTGTTAGCAGCAAAGTAAATGGTAATAAGTAGTATTTTGAACACAACAGTGTTTAGTATATTCACCATAAACTATGTACTGTATGTTTGCTTTTAAATAAAAAAGCTAAAGAACAAAAAAATTTTGAGTTGGATATTTTGTTTCTTTGACAACAATCTGATAGAAAAATCTTTAAAATTCCTTTTTTTAAAACCTAGAACCACCCTTTAACTCCCCTAAGTGATACAAGGACAAGAGAGAAATAATGATTATCACATGTGAAAAACCACAACTTCTGACTTTTTGTAAAACTAATGGGGATAGCTCAGATCTTTTGAAGAAAGGGTTATAAACAGTTGAGTCTGACCAGGTTCAGGTAGCTTTTTGAATTATAGTATTCACACAAACTGCTGCAAACTTTTTGAAATTGTAGTTTTAAGAATGCAGCAATTGACTTTGGTATTGGCCACAGTCAAATGGGCAAGTTAATCCAGTCAGAAAGTTTTCTACAAGTAGTTTATTAACTTTTGATAAGCCTTTGGTAGCACTTCAAATGATCTGAGCTATTGCTTTAAACCATGTATACCAATTTATAACAGCTGATGTTGACTTGTTTTCCATCAGCAGCAGTAGTTTGTTGTTGTTTAGAATGCTCCTGGCCTCCAGACGTGGGGTTGGACACCTCCTTTGGTGGCAACGAAATGTGGTTTAGGTGTCTGAACTGGGTTGCTCTTCAGTGGGGGCAAAGAGGCAAGAATGCTGAGCTCAGGAGCGCTCTGAAACTGCTTGGCTGTCTGGAGCCCAGTGGTGTATGACACTGGAGTGTAAGGTGTGGGAACTGATGGAGGTACAGGGTGTGGAATAGGAGTGGCAGAGAATTTGGGGAGGCTTGGTAGCCCTGCTGCTTGGAAGGATACTGAAGCAGTGACTGGTGCTGGAGTGACTGGAGATGGATTGAAAGGAGCAGGAGGTGGTGAGGTCATGCCGGAATCAGTCAAACGTTCTCCGAGGGTCGTTGCTGAGCGAGGCACAATGACTTTGGGTGTTAGAGATGGACCTGACATTGGTGTGGGTGTGGAGAATCGCTTGATTTCATAGACACGGGCTGTTTTAAGGGGAATTTGCCTTGGTGTGGTTAAGGAACTACCTACCATTGTTGTTGAGTACTTATTTTGTTGGGCATGGTAAGAAGGCATGGCTGATAAATTAGCGGCACTGCCTCCGTACTGAAACATCGCTGAGTTGAGCTGATATGGCTGCCTCTTCATGAAATCCACAGCTTTGATGCCTTCTTTTTGGAAGCCTCCTCTTCCCCTGTTCTCTGGCCTTTTATCTCTCTGAGGCCCTGAGGGGATAGAGGGAGCCAGGAGGGGGTTGTAGCCAATAGGTGGAGGTGCACGGACATTTGGGGAGTATTTCCACTGGGAGGAGATTGAAGTACCAACAGAGGAGTCATGTGGTTGAGCTGTATTTTGCAAGAACACATTCTGCTGGTAAGGCGTCTCAGGTGGGGTGTCCACTACATACTTTCCCATGCGGCTCTGCCTTTTGGCAAACAATTCGGCTCCCTTACCCCCTGCGTGAAGAATTTGCGGGGCCTCGTGAATGACCCGAGGTTTCGGTGCAACTGGGGGAGGCACCCTTCCTATACCAACTTCACCACCCCTCTCCTCCTCTGTATCATCATAGATAACTTCAGTGGGTGGCTGACCATATTTATGCCTTACGGACCTTTCATCCAGGTTCTGCACCAATGACAAAAGCTCAGGATTAGGGGAGTTCTTCTTTACCTCTGGTATGTTGAACATGGGTTTGGGTTTGTTACTTCGCCGCCGAGCTTCATTCAAGATTCCAGTGCGGCCTGTTGGGCCTGGAACTGGAGTTGGAGCTACAGCTTCAGGCTGAGAGACCACTGACACTTGAGCTACAGGTGGCACAGGAAAGTGTGGGCGTGCTGGCTGAGAAGCTGGCATTTGTGGTGGTGCTGCTGAGGCCACTGGATCAGCTGAGCCAGGAACATGGGCTGAAGGAGAAATGGGGACTGGTGCCATTTGTACTTGTGGAAGTCTTGGTGCTGAAGGCATCAGCATTGGAGCCATAGTTGAAAATGGAGCTTGATGAAAACCACTTATTGCCAGTGATGACTGCATTGTGTCTACAGAATAAAGTGCTGGATGGTGAACAGTAGCAGGAACTTCTGGTGGCAGGGCCTGGGAACCATGAGGGATGGAATATGATGGGGAGAGCACTGATGGAGGACCAAAATGTAGGTGTGAAATTGCAGGTGCTGGATTAATAGCTATTTCAGAAGGACTGGAAAAGGGTGGTGGTGCAACAGCTGCTGAGGAAGGACGCTGGCTCTTGTTTGTGACAGATGGTCGGAAAGTTACTGGGGCAGTTGCCGCACGAATGCTAATGAAGCCGGGTGTGAAAGGACGTGCTGTTCTGTTTAGAACATTACTTGCAGGTAATTCAGGTAGTGGTGTTTCAGCAGGTGGGGCAGGACTGCTCAGAATATTCACTGCAGCTGTGGATGATTTGGGAGCCACGGGGGGAGACATCACTATGCTAGCTGTGCTAATTGTAGAGTGGTCCCCATACGCCATTGCATGGGCTGCATCAACTTGAGGATGAGGTTTAGTGGGTGTAAGGCTGGAGGGTGACTCCTGAAACTTTTGGTTTGGTTGTACTTGTGTGTGCATTTGATGATGCAATGAATAGGCCTGAGAAAGCTCCTGTACTTGAGATTCAGTAGATGCCTGAGGTTGCGCAGCATCTACCTTCTTGGCAAGCTCATCCACCCTTTTCCTCTGCTGCTCAAACAACTGAGCACCTTTTCCCGCAGTGTCACTCAAACCAGGGCTTGGAGCATCTTCTGCTCCAACTCCACGACCTTCCACACCTGCTGTTGCCCTCTTCTCCAGCTTATCCAGGTAGTCGCTATCCCAAGTTGGGTCCGGAACTGCCGAGAAGCCCTCATCATCAAACTCAGATTCACTCCCAGGAATTAATCCATCCTCTTCTTGTGAGTCCTGACACCTGTCCTCATCAACACTGCCAAAGCTGGTGAGGGTGTACTTTTTGGAACGCTGTCTTCTCTTCTTAAACATCAACACCCCTTTAGAGTGAGGGTTAGGAGCATCTGTCAGTAGAGACGCAATTGTTCGACACTTGCTTTTGGCTTCCTTCACTTGCTTGTCCTGTAGTGTATCCCCTCGGTTCAGTTCTGCAAGGTATGAAAGTCAAAGCTATTAGGAACTGTACAGTAGTGTAACATAACTACAGCAAGAGATTTTCAAAAGATTTAACCTTTAAACCTATGACTTGAGCATCTAAAACTGTCCCATGCCTTCAAGGGGTATCCGTCACACAGAAACACTTCCGTAAAAATTCCAGGCAAGCTTTTAGCTTCTCACCTTAGTTGGGGTGAAGGATAAATTTGCACATGATTAAGTTTATATACTCTGACATCTTTCTTAATTTTTGCAAGCCAGTGGAAAGTTGCGGAACATAGTTTATGGCTAGAACTTTGAAGGGCTGTTATTGTACTTTCTCTGCTTTAACCAAACACATTCTTACCTACATGAAGCACATCTTGTGTTGGTGCATTTTCAAAATGTAAAAATACATTTGTTAGTGTAAGAATTATAATGTTTCAATATGTATTAAAATTGTATGTCAGAACGAGAGAGAGAGAGAGAGAGAGAGAGAGAGAGAGAGAGAGAGAGAGAGAGAGCGAGAGCGAAGAGCAGTGCAAATGAGAGTCCCTGCTTTACGACTTGATTTCCGAAAGCAGCTGCAGATGGTTTTAGGTGCTCACAGATTGATTGCTGGGGTTTTTACACTCATAGCTTGAGATAAATATAAACCACACTGGCCATATTTTTTGTCAGGTCTTGCTTACACTCATTCACATTGAAGAAACATCAAATAATGCCAAATTAAACAACTTTTGCATGAGATTTCAAAATGACAAAATTTTCAAATATACTTATTGTAAGGACTAAAACATAAAAAGTTTTATGATATGAAAAGGAATGTAAAAGTAGTTTATCTGCTTTTTGAATATGCCTATAAACAGGTGGTGGCTCGACGGCTCAGTGGTTTGCATTGATGCCTCACAGCAAGAAGGTCCTGGGTTCGATCCCCGGTTCAGACCTGGGGTCTTTCTGTGTGGAGTTTGTATGTTCTCCTCATGCTTGTGTGTGCTTTCTCCAGGTACTCTGGTTTCCCCCACCCTTAAAAACATGTACAATAGGCCTTCAGGCCCAGACCTCCCTGGAAAAAGAAATCTGAGATCTCAATGGGACTTGTCTGGTTAAAAGTTCATTAAATAGCTTTGTTCTTGTTCTTTACAGTTTAAATGTTGTTTTGATAGATTAAAACCATACAATGTTAATAAGGAATGCATACTCAGCTCACTGTTTGATTTAAAAATCGTTCTTTTTGTTATTAATTGTGTTTTCTATTTGATTGATTTGTTAGGTCGATTCTATTGATTGCTGGCTCCAAATTAACTGCTGTTCTTGTTTTAAAATGTGAGAAAAACTAATATAATTGAGTATAAATCTATCCAAAGGCTCTCCTTAGTTTCACTTACTGGCTTGTTTGGCCTTCTCCATGTAGGTTGTTGTAAGCTCCTCGTCAATTGGTTTATTTACCGGACCCACCATGGGCACTAGCTGGCTGCGGGAACCCAACATTAGAGCCTCCTTGGCCCTCTCAGGTGACACCAGAGGCACATTAGTGGGCTCCAGAAAACCACTGTCTTCCTCTTGTGTTCCATCTCGTGGGCCCTGGTCATCTGCTGAGGAAATGATGGAGGAGGTTTCAGTGGATGTCTGAGAGGACCACATTCCTGGACCGGGAGGTTTGAAAATCACTTCCTTTCTTGCCACCCCTGGCAGCCCACCTTCCTTTCCATTTCCTCCCCGTCCATTCATTGAACGTGGGAACACCTGTGCGTCTGGAGCACTGTCGTAGCCACTCATCTCCGAGGTCTCCCCGCCCTCTGGGGACGTTCGTTCACTTGGTTTCCCAGAGTTGGAGTTGCTGGGGCTTCTGCGCTTTTGGCGTCGCTGCCTCTCATAACCTGCCACGTCTGCGTCGCTGTCAGTCTCGCCATAGTAGGCCTCGCTACCAGGTGGGGATGTCAGGCCACTGGTCAGAGAAGAGCGGCTGCGGTGGACCTCGCGGACAGGCACATGATGGGGTTGTGTGGGTGACATGGCTTTGAGAGCAGCGCGGTACTCTTTGTCTATCCGGGGAGATGGTGCGCGGGCCACAAGCACTACAGACTGAAAAGCAGCAGGCGCCCTGTAGACAGTTATAAACTCATTTATCATTAACTGCTAGATGCCAACAAATTATGCCTGATTGATTCTCATCATAGGCAGCAGAATCTTGAGAACATTTATTTTCACTCACTGCCTTGAGTTCACATGCACATGTGTGTGTCCATCTTTTAGCCAAATATATCATGAAATAGTAAACAAATGTCAGTGAAACGGTCATAAAGTAATCTTTGCATGTATACAACTGATTACCTTTGAGTCAACATCATTTAAGATGGAAAGGACAGTGAATTAAACTTAGCAACACTACTGAGCTAAAATTTGGTCTGATAGTAGCTGAGACTCATCTACAAAACATGCTCTCATTTTACTCTTACTGTTCTGTTCCAATTACCTTTTGACACGAATGTTTAATATTCCGGGGGAGCTGTCAATGAGGTTCATGGCCTGGGCATGAGAAAGCGATCCACATGGTTGTTCATTGATAGACACCAGCTCATCGCCCTCCCGCAGCCCAGCCCTGCACGCTTTGCTACGTTTACGAACCTGGAAAAGAAAAGAAGTCACATAGATTTGCATAGGTTATTTGGCAAATACAGTATATGGAATTAAAGCTAAAGTTCTTATGTAGCAAATCAAAAAAAAGGTTCCCATAAAAAGAATATCTCAAGACATTTACCGGAAGAAGAAGTTCTGAGAACCCACATAGTAAAATTGGTCTGTTCCAGCCCTGGCACACACAATGCGCTAACACTCAGAAAGATACTGCAATGAATGATGGTCCTTTGGTGGCCAAGATGTGTTTTGCCAGAGGTGGTCCATGCATGGGCCAGCACCGCATAAACCAAACCACAATTAGGCCAGTTATGGCATGCCATCTTCAAAACAGTGCCATCATTGCCAAACCTGGCCCACATCAGGATGAAAAACCACTCCCCTCGCCAGCAGTCAGCCAGCAGTGCCAGCCTGACACCAGATCTGGCCCACACCTGCCATGTGGGAAGAGTTTTGTTTCTGAATGCTATCAACTAAATAGAAAGGCACATGAACTTTTCTCCAGGAGCTGTTTACAGGATTTGTTACACTGCCGAAACAAATCTCTTCATCATACAAGCCCACATTAAATATTTATGATGCACTGCTGTGAATGGACTAATGGTGTCATGTTTATTTGATATTATATCAGTGTTTTATATTCTGTAAAGCCCAGGTATTAGGTCTTAAATTTTAGTTTGAAGGGTTGTGATGTGCAGGATTTCCCTTTTATTTTTCAACAAGGCAGATTATTAAAAACTGTATTGGTTTTCTCGCATCTTCTGCCTTCAGCTTTTCGGGGTTTAGGGAATAAAAGGCTGACAGAGCACCGCTTCTTGTCCTGTCTTGGTTTGTGATATTGACTGATGGAGAACAGATTTTCTTCTGACAGCTCGATCTTGCTGTGGACATGTGCCACATATTGCAGCTCAAGTGGAGCACTTTAACGAGGAAATGTCAGCCAGCAGCCTTCTTCATTTGGTGCCTTTGCTATTTGTGCCCAATATCTACTGAGCTCCTGGCATGTTGCCCTTAATAAATACCCATGGGACACTGCGAATCAACAACATGGTGCCCTGAAGATTTGAGACAAATAGCACTGATGATTATGCAGCAAAAGGAAATGTATGAATACAGTATATTAGAAGTCTGAGCTAATACCGTTTTCTTTGGCTACCCTAATTAGTTTTCTTTACAGCTATTCTGGTTTGTCTGTAATGAAATCCCAATTCCCCATTTAGCTAAGCCTTTCAAAGTGGTCTGTGCCTCTTGTGGCCCAGGATGTCAAGCTATTTGTTCTGTCAGTCACCTTGTGGTCACAAATCATAACACTTATAATACCCATACATGTTTGCTCACATACACCACATGAACTGATACAAAAATACACACAGAGTCACAAAAATACACGCTCACGTACAGGCTCATAGACACAAACTGAGCTCTGACACACACTGACTCTTTCAGTGATGGCCCACAGTACTCCACCTGTTCGAAATGAGAACAAACCTGACAAAAACAAACAGCTTGCTAAACCTATTGTTCTCATGTCAGCTTGCTTTTTATTAGCTTTGTTAGCTTCCTCAATATTCATGATTTAATCTACTGGAGTACAATATAGACCAGTGTTTCCCAAAGTTGGGGTCAGGACCCAAAGTGGGGTCCCGAAACATCAAGGTGGGGTCCTGAAAAGATTTTCTGAATTAATTACATTTTTGCCTAGTTGTTACAAAGGAGTGAGGTTAGTGTATTTAAAATGGATAAATGTAGTATAAAAATATTGTAACTATGCCCATGTTTTGTTGACCTGATACAAATGTTTATCGCCAAAAATATCTGGGGGCACAGGTCTCTGCTACTGTTATTTTGTGGGTCAAAAGCTGAAAAGTTTGGGAACCACTGCACTTTGGTTCTCAAAGTTGGGCTTGGGACCCAAATATGGGTCATGAAGCACCTTGGATAATCTCCAGAAATCAGTTTAAAGGGTAATAAAATAATTGATGATGTAATATTTTCCCTATAACTATTACAAAAACACAAAATAAGTATAAATAAGTATTTATATTTGTGTACAAGCTGTTTAGATTGTCAAAAAGCCAATGTTTTTGGGGTTATTAACAAAGTTCATGTACTCAGACCAGTAATATTTGGGGTCACAAGTTTTTGCCATGGATAGGTTGTGGGTCAGAAGATAAAAAGTTTGGGAACCACTGATATAGACCATTTTGTAGATAATTATGTGTAACCACCATGGTTTTAGACCTTAAAATTGTCCAGCATTGTTTATTGTTTACTTACCTGTAGAACATTAGTAACAATGTTTCTGTCTAGAGAAGAGCTTCGGGAACTAGTTTGACAATGATTTGATTTGGGTTTAAGACAATTTTGAGACAAGAACTGTAGCCTAATTTTGTTTTACCATGTTCAAAATTCAACCATAAGAACTGCAAACCTTTGTGACATTTGGCAACTTGTTGGCAAACAACATTCACAAGGGAGTCTTCAAAGTGTTTCAAAACGTTCAAAGACATTTCACAATTTTCCAATATGATTTGTTGCCGGGCATTCAAGCATGTTCAAAACATGCATGTGACATTTTTCTCTTTCAGAACAGTCATGGAGATGTTTCTGGTGTATCAAAGCCATCTCCATCCCTTCTCAGTTTTCTTGCAGGTGTCTCCAAACTGTCTCAAGAGAGCTAGATCTGTATTTTGATTTCCCAGACATGAGCACTGCTCTGACTGAAAACATCTGGGCCTATTGTCATTAAAAATCAATAATCAACGAACCAGCAACAAGAAATTGTGTTCCTCGTATTCTAAGCAGGTTTGTGTATCAGAATTTGTTTACAAGGTGAATTCTGCATGGCATGTGCACCAAAAACACATATTTAGGTTAAAAAGAAGTACTTTATTTAGTTGTGCCAACACTGACTAAGGGACAAGTTATGGTTTTTATTGCTGCAGGTTCTGATGTAACAGATTAAATGCTAATAGAGGGAACTATCATATTAGTGTCTTTTTAAATCTTAGGGATGCTTGTTTATTCTTTTTTTTTCCAAACCTTTTTGCTCTGTCTGCTTTGTAAATGTGATGTCAAACCTAAATTTGTCAAATGGACTTCAGGATTGGTATTTGGACTGTCTCATGGTCCAAATGTGGACACCCAGTAAAGAGTTTGCAGCTTCATCAGATAGATTGTTGCACTAACATTTCAAGCATTATGTGAATATTTTTGCTCTACAAACCTAATCTAAAAACAAGTATTATTCAGTAAAAAGATATGGTTTTAACCACAAACCAAAACCTGCTAAAAAAAATTCTGGATCAGCATCACTTTAGTTTCATCACAGTTTAGCTTTATCCTCTTTATTTGAAGAAGTGGCAGTTTATGACAACATCAGATAAGATTACTGCCATGACAATCTATACTTGAAGTTCAAAGTTCACCAGAACAGTGATCAATCCATATCTGCATGCAAACTCTACTAAAAGAAGATTATGACTCATGTTCAGGCTCTGAACCAGCCTGCACAAGGGCTAATGTTCCATTTCAGTTCTACTCTCTTCACAGCTTTTTAAAATATATTCCTGACAGATCTCAGCTAATGTTATACATCTGGTAGGTGAGGCTGTCAAATATATATATATATATATATATATATATATATATAAACTTTCCATTAAAATAATTATAAATAAATAAAAACTGAAAGAAACTTCCTGTCCAAATAAAAAAACTCTGCTTACCTTGGCAACTTGGAGTGGTTTCTGATGTTCCACACCTCCCTGGAGACGAAACCCCCATGGCACTCCACCAGACAGTGTAATAATGACCTCCTCTGCAACCATTGTTTAGTGTTTTTTTTTTCTTATTTATCTTTTAGTTATTCTTTAGTTTTGATATTTTATTCGAGGGGGTCCCCCCCTCAGTGTATTAGCTCCATGGTTGGCAGTCAGGACCCCCCACATAGAGTTCTGATCTGCTCGTCGCCTGGCGTTCTGTCCTGCTGCTGACTGTCGTCTGAGCTCCACGGCTGGCACCCACACCTGCACACACACACATGCATACACACCCACACACACACACTTCTGTGCCCCCACCCATACCCAGAGTGGGGCAGCCATCTTAGCCTCAGGAAGAGGGGAGAGGTAAAAAGAAATATGATGGGAGGGGGGGGTTCTGTGTCTGCTTACGCTGAGGAATGTCTGCCCCTAATGAGGGAGGGGAACATGCAGCTCAACACTTGTGCTGTCACTCAGCCCCGTGCCACTGGGTTGTTGATAGCCCTTCCAAAAATAGGACACGGCCACCTTTTCTGCGCCGCTGGCTTCTCTGTAGACCAAATGAAAAGTTAACTTTCAAACCATCCTTGTGGCTGGGATGCATGTCTGACATTAAGGTCATTTGTAACATTCAGGATGACCACAACCATATCGTATCTCACTTCTGAGGCTTGGTGTTAGAGGACCTATTAACTGGTTTTAAATAGTGTTTAAATTCAGCTAAGAGGTGCTAAAAATTTTGGATAGACAATCAGCAGATGGACTTTGGTTCTAGTTGCTTTTCAACTTTTAGGATGATTCAAGGCATTGCAGCTTGCATTCATGTTGCTTTTTCTTATAAATCTCACCCATGCTTTATATCAGGGCTATTCAACTGACGGCCTGAGGGCCACATCTGTCTTGTTCTGCAACAATTTTATTTATGGTAAAACAAAACAAAACAAAAGAAAGACAGAAAATGACAAATACTGTATGTTTGTGATAAAGAAGATCCCATGCATGTAATTTTGTAAGGACTGTCTGTAAATTACATGGATTTTCTTCCATTTTGCAGGTACACGGGCATATAGGGCAGTCTCATGGATTTTTTCAAAAATTAAGCTAAAATTTGATTTTACATCTTGGATGTGAAAAATCTATAAATAATATTCAATAGCTATCTCCCAAACCACTCTGCCATTAAAAATAAGCTACCCACTTCTCTCCGTCCACATTCCCTGCTCCGTGGCCCACAGCCCCCCCCCCACCCCCATTTTATCGGATGTGAATAATATGGATATTTATTTTTATTTATTTTTTTGTAAAAAATTACAGATTTTTTAAGCAATTGAAAGTCAGAAGGGGTTGACACGTAGGATCATGTTATTTACTGTAGATCATGAGTTCCTGAAACATCTGGCAGGATTGCAAACCCACAAGCGATAATAGAATGTTGAAATTAAATAGAAATGAAATAGAGAAGAAATTCAAACCTCTTAAGCTCTCTTGAGTTACATTTCAGTTTATTTTTATAAATTATATTATTTAAAATAATGATTGAAAAACAGATTCAGTTTATGATAATGGTTTGAAACATTTATTATATTTAATTGTTTAATTTTTGTGTTTCAGTTCTTCTCATTCCTTCACCTTTTTGAGGCCTCTCTACCGCTCCCTGGCGGTGACCACTGTGAAAAACACTGATATACAGATGACAGGGCTCCTTTACTCAGTCCACCTGCCTGCCAGTGAGTTCAATAAAATAAATAAATAAATAAACTAGATTTTAAATCATAAATTTAATTTACAAAACAACAATGGATGCATTTATGTGTCTCAGTTTTCATAAGTTTTCCAATTCAAAAAAATTTCAAGTATATAAATGCAGCTTTTTGCACCCATCTGAACAAAAATATTTGTGACTCATACAGATATATATATTGTATCTTCTGTTTGGTTCTGTAAGTTCAGTGGTCTCTTTGCATTTGTCATCTTACTTAGTGCTAGTCTGTCATTTAATCAGGAGTATTTTTGTTCATAATCTTTTTTTTTTTGTCATCTGCACTCTTAAGACAAATGTTTTTTTAATATATTGTTGTTTTCTACACCTTATGTGTTGTTTTGTTTAAACAACTGGAATAATTAGCACAGTAAAGGTGCTGAATTGAACACAAAATGAGTCGTCTTTTTTTCAATTATTAATTTATTTAAAAGGGGACAGTGCGATTTAATAAAACACATGACAATTCATAGGTTAAAAAAAGCCAGAATTAGCCAATTGGCTATTTTTCATCTGTAGTCCCCTGGCCATGATTTTAAAAAGCAGTATAATACAAGAATAGAAATACAATAATAACACACAATAAATAAAAGCAGGAAATTAAATTAGTCATGAAAAAGACCAAAACAAAAAAAAAAAACTCACACACATTAAATACAGCTTATATTTAGTGTTGGCAGATGTAAGAATCAACAAGACATTTTTTAAGATGCTTAGTGAAAGACTCATTGGTTGATGGCTATAAGATAATTTCATGGTTGTGAGTTCCATTCCCGAGCATCTCACAGACCAAACTGACTGACCAAAGGTGCCTCAAAGGGACAACACAGTCTCCTCTAACAGAACCTCTGGTTACACGTTCACCGCTATTTCTCTGACTGATAAACTGTGAGAGAGGAGCTGTGGATAAATTATGATTTACCTTATAAATCAAGCATAAATCAACAAATTTATGAAGGTCAGTCTAATTTAGAAAATGATACTTTTTTAAATATTTCACAGTAATGACATTGTCTTGGTTTCTTGTCCATAACCTTGATGGCTTGCTTGTACAATGTTTCAGTTAATTTCATTGTACTTTTAGAGGCTTTATATAAATACATTGTGTGGGTTTTGACTCAGTTTGTGATGATATTAACACATCTGTTTAAAGAGTGTGTTATCCAATACAGATTACTGAACACAGCTGATTTTAATCACTTAGTCAAACATGTTTTTTGTTGGTTTAAGTTAACCTTTAGATACTTAGCCTTGAAGGTGTCTTAAAAATGTGTTTTTTGGGGGTTTTATTTTGAAAAGTATCCTAAAAGAGAAGGTTTATGGCAATGTGAACTTATTAAGATACAACTGATAATTTATTGAACTAAGTAAGACAGATGCTAACAATCTTAATGCACAAAACCCAGGTCTTCAGGTCTTACTTCTAAGTTAACCCTCTTTTATATTACTGAATTGCTAACTAAGAGGAAAAAGTCTCAGTGGAGGTAAACTTTCCTTTCAACTAAGTCATTTTGGCACAATTTGATGCTCCTTCAAGTCTGTTTAGGAAAGTTGCTCGGCTATTATCAGTGCTGCAGGAGTTTAGATAGCTGCTGTCCTTGGCAGACTTGCTCTGCACCTGTCCTCAGACTTCAGTAACCCAGATCAGTCCTCACACTCAGAGACATTGCCTCCTTTTGTCCTGGAGATGATACAGTGTCAAACTGAACTTTAGCAGCAACTAAATCATAGTTATTAAACAAATGCTTTCATCAAAGGAGTCTGCAAATGAAGAACATGTGCGGATCATATGACCTTTATAAGAGGAATTGCTACCTCTTCAGCTACTGCTACAAAAAATTAAATATAAAGAAAACAACAAAAATACAAAATCCACTTGTCATTTAATCAGGAGATCAGGAGAATTAAAGGAGCAAGTCTCCAGTTGTTGATATGTTTCTTTTCTTTTTTTAACTTTCACCATGTGTTTTATCATTTCAGCTAGGGGAAGCAAAATGCATTAGAGTGAAGTATAAGAGTGCTGTAAAGGCACAAGTACTGTTGTTTTACCTCAGGAAATAAAGGAAGCAAAGTGTTTCTTTTTCCTTTCTGTAGTCATGAGAACTGTTAAGTGGGTATACAGCTTTGTCCCTCTCATGTTTCTCCTGTTAATTAGCTTGTTTGAGCCCATCTTTCTATTTGAGGTTTCCTCTTTCAGTGTTTTGTTGAGGAGAAAACATTCTCGTCCTTTCCAGCCTTCTTGCTTTGTGCTGAACAGTTGCTTTATTCTTTTACTCTGGTCTTTTCATTTGAATGGTTTCCCTGTTGTGTGTCCGTGCAGATCTCAGCAGACAGATTTGTTGAGCTGAAGCAGGCTCAGACGCTGCACCCTCAAACTGTGGCATCTGTGCCAGGATGGCAGATACTGCCAGCCCCAACACTCAGCTCGGATGGTGCGAAGCTGGAGCCAGCATTATAACAAACATGATGTAAACTGAACTTTTACTATTAAAAATCCAGAAAGTGTTTGATCAAAATAGAAGTGCACTGGTAAAATTAAAATGGAAAATGTAAACTGTGCTGAAACCAAACCTCTTTTATTAGGTTTTATTCTGATTCAGCATTAGGACGAGGCTGTAAATGTGGAAAATTAGATTTTAGAAGCATTGCATTTACAATGTAAATTAAATGTGTTACTTTTACTCGAATCTGTTTTTTTTTTAGTGTAAGTGTCGATACTATCAATACCACGGTGATGATCGGTATGGGATTGATATGAGCGTAACGAGATAGATTTTTTTGTTTACACTTTATTTGCGTTGCTGACTTTATTTTTCACACTAAAACAGTCCATAGTGCAGTGTCTCAAAATTGTTTGAAGATTGTCATTAGTCCTCTTCATCATGCCAGAGTGCATTGGAAGTGATTTTTTTTTGTTGACAAATATTTTTGTTACTTTGCTGCTTCTTTTTTGTTATTGTGCACATTATTAAATACAATTGCTTTTCCCCCAAAATATCTTTGTTCTGTGTTTCATCATAAATGACTAGCTAAAGAAAAAAATCACAAAATTTTCACTGAACATGACAAGCATCAGCATCAGAATCAGTGATACTAGCTTTCTCTTACAAACAGACTTTTAGTTGTTACAGGTTTTTTATGCGTATTCTACCCTGTTTTTACTTGTAGTTTGTATGAATGTGATGTTATTTTTATTCCTTTTATTGTGAAGCACTTTGTGATTTTATATATATGAAAGATGCTACATAAATAAACTTTACACTGCAAAAACTGTTCACCTAACCAAGTTTTAAAATCTTATATCCAGCCAAAAAGTCTTTTTGATCTTGTTTTGAGACTGATTTACTAAACAAGAACTGACTGTGTAAGAATAATCATCTTGTTTTCAGAATGTGTAAGATTATTGGTCTTGTTAGTCTGAAATTTTGACTCAAATTAAGTAAAATTTTTGAAGTAAGAAATTTTTACTTGGTAAGATTCTTGAAATAAGAAAAAATTGAGTCAAATCAAGTATTTCAAGAATCTTAC